CTCATGGATGACGTCAAGCCTTATTATTTGGTATAACAATACTATTTGTTGGTATTGCATTCATTGCTAAGAGCATAAGTGAACTAACAAATTATATCTTTTAAATCTGATATTGTGCGACTCAAAAGAATGTGGCTAAAGGGATAATCACCAATCTATTTGCCAAAGCGATTTTTGTGCTGTCAGTTATCTAAACAAGAAGCAAAGGTTAGTAGCACAGAAAATTTACAAGCAGTCTCATTATGCCTCGAGACTGCGCGCGTCAGCTCCTGCACCGTTCAAGCGATGCAGCAGCCTCCGTGCCCTCTTCAAAACGAAGCAATAAATGCAATGCTGTGTCGTCCCAATTTTTTTTTCATTTTTTTTAATCGTCAGCTATTGACTTTGGAAAGCAAGAGGCGGACATAACAAAGTGCAGCTGCTTCAAAGTGAGCCTTCCGACACCAGAGTCGCCAGCGATGGTCCCACTAGTGAAAGCTGCAAGTATTAAAACCGAATTGCATCTGCTTCGACCAGGAGGAACACTTTTATCAAGGGAGGACGCAAGGATCAGATCGCGAAAATTGCGAAAAAAAATTGATTTTTGGAAATCACTCATTTCAGCATCTGCAGTGTCTATTCTATGCCGTACCAAACCGATTTGGCTGAAAACCAACCCCAAATGCCAGAAAAAAGTAAGTTTGTCAGCGCGATCGGCGAGAAAGAGGCTTAGAATCGCACAAAAACCGATGTTCGCAAAGCAAGTGTTCATTTCTCGTGCCACTGATCGCCGCCATTTTGGTATCCTTCGAAACGTCCATGCCTCGCTTTCCCGCTTTCCAAACGTCACCGGCAAAGAAGAAACGCACAAAAAGCAAAAAAAAAAAAAAAAAAGAGCACATGGTCATACGAGCAATCCGAGGGTCGTTTTATAAAACGAGGCCTCCGATTGGCTGTCACGCTGCAAGGAGGCTCCCCATTGGGTGCTGTCACGACAATAGAGGAGGAGCCACCGTGGTCGTCTGCAACGAAAACCACGTTTCGTGCACGTTTTTTGACACTTGTTGCACGCACGCCGTTATAGAATCACGCTTGTTTTCGACGACTCACACGTTTGGAAAACGAAAACGGAAGCCTCCTACTGCGAAAAAAGGGTGGTGGTTAGCGGGAGCAGCGGAATATCCAACGACTGTTCTGGATTCAACGGAACACGGGAATGACATGCCAAGTTGCCTTGCACCACATCACCCTCAAGAACGCGGTGAATCCAACAGTCGCACTGTGACAACATTAATAACGCCATCGTCTGGTGATCGTCACGGAACACGGTCAACGAAGGACGCATCCAATGCTTCCCCGAGTACAACGACTCTCGACTCTCAGTGCGCAGGCGCTCGCTTGCGTAGCCAACTTGAAATCTCCGACTAGCATTCGGATGAAAGGTCGCCGTCAAAGTCTGCAAAAGTGCACCCGTTATTTACAAGCCATCTTCGTCCGTCGACAAGTTTCGACGTGAACGATGATTCACCGTGTGCGATCGCTTCAAGTTGCTCAACGCCGTCGACCGCGCGCCGAAATGAAATCGCCGACAGCCGTTGGGATCAAAGGTCGCCGTCGCCGGCAAAGCCTGCGGAAGCGCATCTCTTATCAGGCAGCGTTCCCCGCGCGTCGAGGAGCTTTGACGGGAACTTTGATTCACCGTGTGCCAGTTGTTCGAAAAGTTACGCAACGTCGTCAACCGATCATCACACCATTCAGGCGCACTTGGAGACTCGCTACGTATCAGCGGGAGCGGTGAAGGCGCAAGCATCGAGCGTTCGCTACTCGCTTCGCGCGGTGTCCGCCACCCAGCGAAAGCTGTCTTTTGGGCCAGCAATGTGAAAAAGAAACTTCCGGGACACCTGGAGATGAATTTATACTTATGCAAGCTGTTGCTATCAACGCAATGCTGGCTAACAATCTCTGCCAGAAATGCCAAAAACATTTTCTGGGCGTGAATTTTGAGACAAGGCTGGGTCTGGCAGTGAAAATGGCACTGTCATGCAGTCCTAGTGGCAGCATATCCTCCCACTGGTCTTCTCAAAAAATGGATGACTCCCGAGCGTTTGATGTGAACATTCGCTCAATGCAAGCTATACAAATCATTGGCAAGGGACAGACTGCTCTGAATGACTTGTAGACCACCATGAACGTTTCTCAACGCGGCTTACATCATAAAACCTACCAAGGTCATTTGAAAAGGTTATTCAAGCGTGCAGCTGAGGTGGCTTCAGACAACGTATTTGCAGATGCTGTTCGTACTGTCAAAAGAGAGTACACGGAGATGGACGTTGGTTTTTTTGGAATTGTCACTGTTGTTTACGACGGCACCTGCATGACACGTGGTCATCGACCACATTTTGGAGTTGGCTGCATAACCGAGTTCCATACAGGGCTTGTGCTTGAAAGAGTTGCTTTATCTAATTTCTGCCTCAGATGCGATCTAGGACCAGCAGAGGACGACCCTGTGTATCCCCAGTGGAGGCAGCACCATCAGTGCCAAAAAAAACACAGACGCTGGATATGGTCGGATGGAGGTGGAGGCTGCGCTGCAGCTTTTTGGCCGCTCATTGGCCAAGAATGGTCGAAGGTACTGCAGTGTGGTCTGTGATAGAGACAGCAGAGTTTTTCAGGCATTGAGTGAGGAGCAGCCCTATGGATTTATACAAATAACTAAGGAGGGCTGTATGAATCATGTGAAGAAGAGAATGGGCACAACGCTCCGCACTCTTGCCAGCAAGGCAAGAAAAGGGGAGCCACTAGGTGGAAAAGGAGGCCTCACACAAGACCTCATCAAGAGGCTTACCAATTATTATGGAATAGCCCTCCGCAACAACAGCAACGATGTGGCGGCAATGCACAATGCCGTGATGGCGACGTATCACCACGTCACATCGACAGATGAGAGTCCTCACTATGAGCTATTCCCCCCTGGTCCTACGAGCTGGTGTACACACCAAGTTGCAGAGGCACAAGGACATGCCCAACAAGCCCACAAGTACAAGCTTTCCAGCAAAGTTTCCACAGCGCAATTGCCAGTGTATGAACGCCTTGCCGACCCACAGCTGCTAGAGCGGTGTAAAGGAGGGAAGACACAGAATGCAGCCGAGAGCTTGCACATTCTGTGATTTGGTCTCTACTATTCAAGGACCAACATGCCTCCCTTTTTGCTGTAGAGACAGCGATAAACGAGGCAGTAATGACATATAATTTGGAATGCGCACGTATGTACTCGGAAACGTGTGTTACATTGGGTGCGCGTCTTGGTTCCATGGCCCTCCAGAGGGCTCAAGAAAAAGACTGCCTGCGTCTCAAAAAAGTGCATAAAAGTAAAGAAACCAAAAGACAGAGGTCCAAGAAGATGCCTTTTCGCAGCTATGCAAAAGACTATAGCCCTGGGGCATTTTAATAAAGGTGCAACATTTGCAAAACTTTAAAAGCCATTTCCTGTGATTTTTTTTTTGTCGACCACATTGCTCGTGGAAAGCATTGCGCGACTATGGCCGGACCGATTTTCATTCTGTTTGTTTTATTGTAACTCATAGACTTTGCCATAACTGAAGGCAGTCTTCAAATATTAGATTAGGCTTCCATTTTTTTTTAATTTCACAATTACTGAAAGGCAGGACTTGATGAAGTACATGCATATGCAAATATTGTTAGGGCATTAAAAAAAAAACTGGCACTGTCTTCGGCTACAAGCAATATGTATACATATATTAAAAGTTATTCCAGCACTTAAGAAAGTTTCCTCGCTGTGCGAGACTCTCGACGAGCGACAAACTTAAGAATTTTCATTAAATGAGAACTAGTAAAGATATCTTTATAAAAATTTGCATTCATCTTTTTAATGTGATTTTTAGTGTGTATCCCGAATTTCATGAACGTAGGCCATGAAACAAAAAAGTTACAAACGATCCCCACATCCCCCCTTAATGAGATGACTTTAAAAGAAAAAGCACGCGAGACTTTTTAATTCGGTCCCCAGCAACCTCGAGTTCGAAAGGACAGGTTTTTTAGGGGCTTTACCACCACAGCGATTATGAAGGTAGATGTGCTGGTGAAAGGAATTACGAAAAAGCACTTCCGTACTCTCCATAGATAAAGTATATTAGGGGAAAAGTGTCAACGCATTCCCACCATTCATGTGTTTTTCTGCAGACACAAAGCACGGAAAATTAGATCGTGATGTCGGAAATAGACGTGACAGACATTCTGGCGGAACCCGCGCAATTTTTAGTGAAAATTGCTTTATTACATGCTGCGCAACTCTTCTAACAAGCTACCAGCAGCATTCATGTAACGGAGGACATGCACCAAAGAATTGCCGCCACAGTTTCACGCTACCGATTGGACTAGCTATCACGAGCCCATGCAGAGAGCGCATTTACCTGCGGACTTGCTCAACAGAGTTGCGTCGGCACCAAACATAGCATCGTGGATTTTAGGACGTCTGTGGGACCGTTGTTTTTCAGCATAACGAAATAGGTATGTGATTGTGACTTTGGTGGCCCCAAGAGCAAAGTTTACATGTATTGACACGCCGGTGTGGCTATTGCTGGTGATAGACGCTCCCAAATTCGACATTGACACAGTTCCGGTTGATATTATAAGGATTGCGCAGAAAATGTGATTTGGCACACTTTGGCACAGTTGGCGCAGAAGTGGGAGCACTCTATGTCGGCGGCTGTGTACTAAAGGTGGGCAGCATTGGGCATGGCAACTGTGCCATCAAAAGGCCTGCTTTCAGGCCACCTATGGGTGATTTGAAGTGCGCTAATGCAGTGAATACCACTAAAATATGATTTTATTTAAAAATAAACACTCCCTTGGCACAAAAGTAGCACTATGAGGTTTCTAGACCATTATTTTAACAATTCCCCTTTGGCTTATTATTTGCCTTTAGTGTACAAAGGTGCAAGCAAAACATGCAACATTTCCGTAAAATGGGTGAGAATTTTTTCCGTTACAGGTGACCCCACCTCATTCTCTTCAGGGTCGTAGGGTACATCCTCATCATCTACCAACGGAGTCCTTTCTTCAGACAATGCCGATGACGAAGGTTTTAGCCGGGCTTGCCTTGGCCGCTTTTCTAGGGGTGGCGTGTAGGACGGTTCGTAAGGCTCCTCGTCATCCGATTGTCCACCTACAGAGGTCTCTGCCAGTGGAGGCGTCAATGACACTGCCTCCGAGCGATCAGCCCACGATGACCTGCAAAATGTATGCAGCAAATCCAATCCAGGAAATGAGCACTGACTTTGCACAGCTAGCTGACAGCATCAATGCAATATTTAGCAAGTAAAGTCAGCTGCCCATTTTTCGGACATTCTTGAAAATCCTCGCCCCTTAGGGGAAGCACCTAAGGTCTTAGAATGACAACTTTGCTGCAACATCAAGGTGTTATAGAGTGACACATACCAAGAATCTGAAGGGGGCCACTGTGACAAAATGTTTTTACTAAACTGAGAGATTCACAAAGTGAAAAATGAGAACTGAATGCGAGAAAACACGAATCTGTATTATAAACCCGTGTGAACAAAAGGTACGGCACATTGATCATTTACATCTATGTGAGGCTGGGATTTCAGTCATGGATATTCAACACTTCTTGACTTTTGCTCGAACAGAAAGCCATGATACCAGGGATAAAGCAGTTTGGGATCAGGCAGTTGTGTGTTCACTGCCGAGTATTGGTCTCGACACCACTTCATTCGGGTGACAGATGTTCAGCCACATACCACTCAATAAGATACACTCACAATCCATGAGAATCTGCCTGTGTTTCTGTCATAAAGCCACTTGTATCTAGCTTTTCACCCATTTTGAAGGATACAGCAACATGTCAGCGGATATGTGCCACCTCCGAAAAACAAAGCAAAAAGTGAACACATGGATCGTGATAGTAAGCGCAACATGTTTTATGCTCAAGTTTCACTTCCTTGCAATAGATTAAAATAAGTCGCAGCATGAATCCTGAAGTAAATGATGGGCGAAGCTCCAGGGGATAATGTGGGTAACCATGATTGCTCTGTTCACTCGAACATACAAATGAGTGACAACACAGTATAGACAATGTTGTTTTATTGGTCATTATAGCAGTCAACTTCACGAGGGCCTTCTGCGGGTGAGAGTGCTTTTACAATTGTTTTTCTCCTTGCAGAAAGAGAATGCGTGGTCTCGAACGTGTTAGGTCTTTATCATCATCGGTATTTTCGTCATCGCGTGTGATGAGGGACATGTCTCGACCCAAGGAGCTTCACCCATAAAAGCTGGTTTGTGCCATGCAGAGCAACTCTGTGATAGCCTTAGCATTGAGGCGCATGGTAACACTGACTATGCTATAATAAAACTCCCCTTACCTCTTTAGTTACCACGCCTATTCAAATCGATCAACGGTGATCGACACTTTTGATCGTCGATTTTGGCATGTAGAATTCGTTTCTGTTGCACTCAGCACTTTCTAGTAGTTAGCCTGGCCACTCAAATTTCAGAATCAATTTGAATTTGCCTGTTTTGGAAACACACTGATTTCTGACAGACATTTGCGTGAACCAATATACATGTGTTGGGAAAATGCACCTGGCTGGCAAACTAGACAGAAATGAGTGCCATTTGTAGTTATGCTACAGTATTATCAAAGTTCGAAAAAAACCTTTGCAATCTGAAATTGTTTGGAAGTATGAATTGCCAGAAATTTATGCCAGCCATTCAATACAGACCTGTCTGCGTGTCAGAGAAAATTTATTTTACAAAAAATATTTCCCAAGGTCAGCTGTATGTATACAGTGCAAAAGTGGCCTTCTAAACCAGTTTCCATCAGCTTTGGTTTCACTAGTATCGTTATACAGTCGAGCCCACATATAACGGCACCACATAAAATGAGCTTTCGCTTATAGCAAATGATACCCACGTGACCGGAAAAATATACAATATTGCAATAGAACAAAATCGCATTTACAGCTAACGTCCTCTGAGCGCCGCCAATCAATTACAGTGAACGGAGTCGGTACTTCAGCGACTTTCCAGGAAACCACTTTTGACCACACATAAGCCATCGGAGAAATGCCTATAGATTCTTATTGTTAAATGCCGACCCTGTCTCCGCACCCCTCTAGTTGTCGCTCTCCCCGAGCTTGTTTTGTTATGTGCCCCTCCATCCTTTTTGTCGCCCAGCTACTCTGAGCACCTTGAATCACCAGACAAGGCCAGCGTTTTCACAATGCCACCAATCTTTTTGAAGACTGGTCGGCGAATTAGTCAGTCCTCAGTTTTTGATCGCTGGTTTTGTCCTTGGCGTTGCCGGCCTGCAGTGACCAGACCATGGGCCAACATTGTCGGCCAACGACTGTATCCACTCGTCAGCACTTGTCTGGATCAGTGTCGTATCGTTCCAGTGCACGTCCAATCCTACCCCACCGACTCTTATAATTTGCAATTAGTTCCGTGTTTAGGACCTGTTCACTCACTTTGCACTCGGCACAGCATGCACTCCGCAATGCTTGTGGAAGCGTAAAAGCAGCTGTTACACGAAACCAATAGCGAATTATCGAAGTCGGTGAAGCCACGCAAACCCTGCCAACGAAAAAAAAAAAAAAATTTTTTGGTTTTCTGCGCATGTAGGACTCTCCCAAGTTTTCCTACGCATGAGAGGCACGTTTCATGGACCTTTTAAGCAAGCTACCAGACCTGCCAGACCTGCATTAGGTCACAAGGTCACCTTCCCGTTGCATCCTCCCCTATCTTCACTCTATTGCAACTCCTTGCCCTTCTCTCTGCAGGTCTGCTCTCCTCTCTTTATCAGTCAACCATCTCCACTGCTCCGCGGTGCCAGCCACGCTGGCTTGAATTCAGAAGTTTAGTTTCCTGACTAGAAATGGGCCCACAGCTGTTCCACACATGCTGGCTTCTACGTCGCGCGTGGACGTTTTGCTCGCTTTTGGTGTGCTTGTGTAGTCAGGATGGTGGACGGGAGGCCTTCCGCACTTTTTTTGTACCGCTCAACAAAACGTCGAAAGTGTGACTAGGCGCCGCGCTGTGGAGCGCTCACTCTTGTATATTGACCGCCCGGCAGCCAACATGCCGCTTTAGGTGCCCTGGCATTCAGCTGTGTAGATGGTGAAGGCATTGTGGCCGGAGGTGATGGCTACATCAGTGTGAAACTGTTTTCGCGAGGTCGACTTCGTCAGCGTCCTCCCGATGCCGAGCCTGAAGCTCCACACAGAATCATTCCGTCCACGATTTGTGGCAGCACGTCGCAGACTCCGACGTGGAAGAGCAGGCACTACATGTGTTACAATGATTTCTTTATGGCCTATGATGCTGACACCGCGAAATCGTGCATGGATGAGAGTATTGTGAATGAAGTGCGCAAGAAGTGCGATTTGAAGGAAGGAATCGGATGGCGAAGACGAAAATGAAACATATGTATCACGGACTTTTTTTAGAAATAAAAATTGTGTTTTGATTGGCAACTTTTTTAAAGCTGTGTTTCATTTACTACGAACTTCAGGATACAGTGAATGGATCCCACGTCACACTCCAGTTCATTAAAGCGGGCTCGACTGCATCAGACACAGGGCCGCACCTAGTGCCATTAGTCACTCCTATGGCAGCGGCGTCACGCACACATGGGTGCGCATCTGAGTTGCAAAAAACAAGTGCAGCTCCAAACTGTTTTGCAACCGCACCTGAATTGAGTGAGGATGAGCTTAGAGGCCGAGGATGACAGCACCTTAGCTTCAAGTTTTATGGCGATGATCTTTTGTGTCAGCCTCAAGTTGTCTCCTCCACCGCAGGTATGTAGCTTCTGACCTTCGTGCACAATCTTATAGCTACTCCGGTTATGTGCGAGGTCCACATGTCGCCTAGGCGCGGTGTGCTGACGCCGGCTGTGAAGCCTCTCCTCACGGCAAGAAAGCAACCGGAGCACATCTTGGCAGAAGCAGCGCGAGGCGTTTTAGAACTGCGCGCAATATTGTTAGTTTCTTTAATACGATGAGCAAATATGCAAAAGAAAATGCTTTGATGCATATACTGAAATGCCAACCTATGCGGAGAGAGGTGGCTCATGGAAAAAAGTGACGCTAGCCAAAAGAGCGAAGTTATTTGGGCATCTGACTTATACAGAGATAAATCAAATCATGGGCATCCATCTATATTGGAACACCAGCAGGCTCTTATTAAAAAAGAAAGAATGAAAAAAAAAAGAAACTAAGAAAAGTTCACGTGTGTCTCACGAAAAACCAAGCAATGCCTCACCGCATCGCCCAAACAAAGAAGCAGCCGCTTGGTTCAGTTAGAAAGTTGCCTGTCCTCCAAGAAAATATGGTACAGTCGAAAGCAGAACTTTATCTTCTACTGTATGTATTCCGTTGTCCGAGTAGTGGATGCTTTGCATTGCAGCCGTACAGGCCACAGTCTGTTACATGGTCATGGTCTGTTACATGGTCATGGTCTGTTACATGGTCTGTGGAATCCTGGTTTTACGTCCCCCGGTTTCACGACGACCCGCATTTTACGACCGATTTGTCTCGTTCCGGCGAAATCACCATAGACGCAATGCATTAAAACCTCAATTATCCGACTTCATTTCACGCCAAACGCGCGCCCCACAACGATAAGCGCGAAGCGAGGGGACAAAATGGCAAACAAAAGGGAAGTGCCACGGGTGTCTTTTGCCGCACCAGCCGGAGCAACCCTTCGCATGCCGAGTGCTTTGAAAAACAATTCATTTTGGCTTTCACCTGCCGGTCGTTCGTCTTCCTTTCACCCTATTAGCGGCTGTGAAAGCCACGTAAAGGGGCGCGGTTGTGGTTTTCCCCATTTTTCTAACCCTCTTTGAACGATCATCTTTCTTTCGTTCTTGTCGCGTGACGGCGTCTGAATGATTTTGTTTTCTCTAGGGAAGACTAACTTATGTAGCATCTTTGTTGAGGGGAAGGAGGGAGGCATCATTAGGATGTAATGTAATGAAATCTGATTTAATGCTTTATTATTAGGACTTACGCGAAAGCGCATCTCAAAACGATGGCTCGTACCTTCCGCGGTGCAGCTGCTGTCTGCTATTAACAATCACCCTTGATAAATGAATGCATCGCTCCTGTTACGGGAGCTTGTACAACAATGCCCATAACTGTCTGAACTCGTAGTCATGCATACACAACCGCGGATGCAGCTCTATAAGCGTCTTCTCGAGCATGTCACTTCCGCTT